TAGGAGAAATAAAAACCAGGAGTTATGCCTGACCTCTGGAGTATTTGATGAGCTACAGGGGTATGAGTGAATGTCACACAGAGACACTTAAGAGAGTAATGGAAGGCAGAACTTAAAGAAAATAAACATAACTCTTTTAAAGAACTGGTGGTAAAGGACCGCAGAAGAAACGAGTCTAAAACTGGATGCTGAGAGTGTTTGGTCTATTAGAGAGAGGGGAAATGCTAACACTACAAACCAATGACAGTTTCCCAAGTGATGTTTTGACCTGCTGAAAGATGACCTACCCAGTGATGCTAAGTAAGGTTCTTGTGAGGTCACATGACTGTACTTCTGAGAAAAATGACACTTGAGAATGATCCCTTATGATACTGACTGGTGCTCATCCTAAACTAGAAAGAACCCATGGGCATGAGCATCTACGGCCAATGACAGGCATTTCTCACTCTTTCTTACAGTTAGCTTTATTATTATTGTTCTCATTTCAGTTTTTTATGTATTATAAAAACATAAGTCAGATGAAGATAATGGAACACTGTATAAGAGTTTGAATGAAGCTGACAAATCCTAACGATTTCACTGGTATGTAGACTCCAAGAACATTGATCTTAAAGAAGTTGAGGACAGAATCGTGACTGCCAGAGACGGGGGAGAGTCAAATGGGGAAAGAGAAAGAAGGAGAGCTTGATCAGTGGATGTTGAGCTATAGTCAGTTGTTAGACAGGTGTAAGAAATTCTGCTGCACTGTCCTACAGAAGAGTGATTATAAAAAATAGTAAAAATTTCAATAAAGTGAGACAGACTTTTAATATCCCCATGACAAAGCAATGGTAAGAAGCTTTAAGAGCTAAAATATGAACATTGCACAGTATACTGAACACCATACAATGTGTACATGTACCAGAGCATCACATTAATGTCCATACACCTGTTTAATTCTTATGTCAATTAAAATCAGTAAATAAATGAAAATGAAAAAAAGAAAATAGTCCTATGAATATTTGAGCTTAAAATTTTGAATTATTTTTTTTAAAAAAAATTTTAGACTGGTACATTACAATGTAAAATGCATTTACAGTAACCATTGCAACAAATTTAACAAATGAACAAGAATGAAGAAATTGATTTGAGATTGCTTCCAAATGTTAAAATCAAAATTGTTTCTTAGATCAACAATACATAAGCAAGCACAAATACGTAATATTTTAGCTATATCAAAATTTCCATGAAAGATAGCAAAAGATCAATTTATTTTACATTCTGGGTTATTGGTACATGTATTTTTTGGTTTGAGCTTTTAAACTACAAACTAAATCATATCTTTCCATGAATGTTAGATAATTCTAGTAAAATTGTTTTTGAAATATCTTTAAAGTAGTCTATTAATGAATATAAGTGTATATTTATGCTTTCCAAATATAAATAAAATTGTAATAATTAAATGACCACACGTACAGTGCCAGTCGAGCCTTGGATTGGTTTTGAACTGGCATTGCTTCCTTTCAGCAGTGAACTAATCACACTCAATTTGACAAACACTTCTTCTTTATTGACATAAGGAACTCACAAAGAAGAAATTAAAATCAAAGTGGAAAAATCCTTGCTGCAGAAATCATTCTCAAAGGCACTGGCATGTTCTCTCCTGACAGACCCTCACAGCAGAGTGCCACTCGGGCCCTGGGGCAGGAGTGTCTGTGGCACACAAAGTCAAGTAGCTGAAAATGTAGGGTTAAATGAACAAATTAGAAAACACAAAGGGTACTATGTAGAGCATTAGATAATTCAAGGATGCTTCTCTTGGGTCTAAATCAATCCAATCATATTCTCCTCTAAGTGGAGAGGCCAGTGCTGATGAGGTGGTTTCATTTGCTTTCCAACTCACAAGGAGTAAATTATTGTAAGTTAGAGAAGATGCATTCCAAGGAGCCAGCGTGTTGTTCGAAGCCTTCAAATTGCATCCTCAAATTACTGAGCACTTGACAACAATCAACTAACAGCTCTTCTGTGATGTCTGGGACAACACATGAGGCTAAAAGTTGAAGTGCCTGAAGAAAGGTTGCCTTAAAAGGAGAGAAAGACGCCTCTGTTTGGGAAATTGGAGGAGAATCCTGTTTAAAATTAAAAACCAGTTTGCTGCTGTTTGGAAAGATTTGTCATTCCCTATGTAAGCTCAGTTAACAGTTTTCTGTCAATATAACAAAGAAACTTAGAAAATCAAAGGAAAGTTTGTTTTGACTAATAATTTGATGTGTGGTCATTCACACTTGTCATTTGAGGGCTATGATGAGAAAAAATTATCAAGACAGAGAGTAGGTGGTGGAGCTAGGCTACTCACTCCGTTGTAGCCGCTGAGCAAAAGAAGAGACCAGAAGATACTGACGTCTAATGCCCCTTCAAGGACACCCCAATGATCTACCCTCGTTCTGCTAGGTCCAACCTTCTGGGGATTCCTCCTCCTCCCAGTAGCACTACAGGATGGCACTCAATCCGTTATCACATAGACTTATGGAGAAGCCCAAAAGATACAAACCATCACAACCACCAATTAAGAAAGCCGATTCCTAATCAATGAAACTTACCTGGCACCTCCGGGCAGGCAGAGGCCCTTGCAAGTTCGCAGGAAGGGCTGTGCAATACAGGTAAGTGCCACAAATAGGTGGAGTCTGGGCTCCCTCCTCACTGTTGGCTGACCTCCTGAGACTTGGTTGGTCTTGGTTTGTGAAATAAATATCTTGTAAAAGCTGCGCATCAGGAGTTTTCTATGAAAGATGAAGAAAAGCAAGATGGGCACAGCATCCATCATTACATATCCTACCTGTTTGTTACTATCAGATAATGGTGCAGAATCCACCAAAGATTAACTCTGCTAGCCAGGGGAGCTTTCACTTCAAATACTTTTTCAGACTATGAATTGCATGACTGTAAGTTTGCAAATTCAGGTTTCTGCCTGTTAAGTTCTTCAGGAAAACAGATGAAGCAGCTTCCCGGGGATTACAGTTTTTTAGAAACATTTGACTTTTTACTATTTATAAAGTGTGCCTTAGAATACACGACTGAGTAAATTCATTTCTAAGAGTTCAGCTGTTCAAACACATTTAAAATTTAATGAGGGAGGCCTTCTAGTGCACTCACATTGCAAGGTGAAACTGTAATGAATACAGAGTTCGCCTTACCAGTAAAACCAATAATATTGGAATAAAGCGCCAATTTAAACTCTGCATCTCACCCTGTTTATTATAAAACAAAGAGGGCACCACATCAGCATTCTACAGTCATGTGCAGTTGGGACAATGCGAAGCTTTCACTATCTTACACCATTCTTCTTCTCTCTCTACCTTTGCATTACTATTCTTTCCTCAAATACATATTCTAAATGATGTTACTGCAGTCCAAATGCCAAGCTGCTATGGGATAAGCCTCATGGAGGTGAATCTTTCTTGCTCTTGCACTCTGAGTCTCTTGGTCTCTGGATATATATGAATGGTAGTTGTACCATTTCAAACAGAATTTGGAGTGATTAATTTGAAGTTACTTGGAAGAGACAGAATATGAAAGAACTGAAAATACAGCATAAAGAGAAAGGAAAGGGAAAATTCTTCTGACGGGATTTGGAATTGCAGATAAATGATTTCTTAAGGCAAGTGTGGGAATAAATGTTTGCCCTCCCAAGATCCCCCCCCCCCCCCGGGTATATTTTCTTTTCACTCTAAGAAAGCTGTAGGCAGGGATTGGGATCTCCATTGCCCGCTTACTAAAAATCATTACATAGATGTGACATTGAAGTACTCATTAAGCCATATGGGGACCAGCTTAAGGCTCAGCCACCAACCTTTGCCCACTCCCATCCACATGACCTAGGAAAGCAGAAAAAGCTGAATTTGACATTGTCAAAGTACACACCTTCCACAACACCAAACTCCAATTTTAAAAGGAAAAACAGAGAATCAAGAACTGGTAAGGTATTTATTTATTCAACTTTGCTTAAACTTAGAAATAATTTCCTTCCAAGGCAATGAGTTTCTGACCACCTTGACTAGAAACCTGGTCTGGATCAGGTCAGTTTGCTTCAACCCAGAGAGATTTCATTAAATAGTACTTATTGCATATACTCATTTACAATGTGATGTTACAGAATCATCCAATGGTAAATCAACTGACATAGAAAACTAAATGAACATATCCATTATCTCACACAGTGGCATTTTTGTTTTGGCAAAATCAGCTGGAATCCACTTAGCAGAAGTCCTAACACTAACGCAAATTAACTATAGTCTTCACATTGTGCACTAGAGCTCTAAACTTGTTCATCCTGTGTATCTGGACTTTGCATCATTTCAACCAGACCTCCTCACACTCCACCCAGGATTATTTTAGTTCTTCATCTCTGTTGGATATGAATTTACATATACATATGTATATATGCATATACCCTGCATATGTTAGAAAAGTTTCCATTACTGTAGCAAATATCTGAAATAATCCACTTTTTAAAAAGAAAGGTTTCTTTTGACTCACAATTTTGGAGGTTTCAGACTACAGTCTATTGACCCTGTTTCTTTTTGGTCTCTAGTGATGCAGCTAGTCATGGTGGAGAGAGTAGAGGAGGAAGATGCTCATCTCATAGCAGCAGGGAGTAAAAGAAGGAGGATCCCATTAAGCTAACTGTCATCCTTTGGGCCCCACCCTCTAGGGTCCACCACCTCCTGGGAATATCACAGCCTGGGCAGAAAAGTGTAATTCATAGATAGTGGGGAATGTTCCAGATCCAAACTTTAGCAACATTTAAACAGACATTACATAATCATTATCTTCTGTTTCTGGCTTATTTTACTCCCTATAATTTTTCTAGGTCAATCCACACAATAGCAAATAGTGGGAAATCCCGATTTTCTAAAGCTGTATAATACTCAACTATGTATAGGTGTATAAACACATTTCTGTGTACATATGCACATCAATTTATCTGTCTTCCATTTTCTCTAACTGTTGCTTCACCACAGAGTGCTTCTACTTCTTGATGATCATGAAGATTACTGCAAGCAACTTGAGAATGAAGACACCATGACAAAGTGGTGACTTTAATCATCTCCCCCAAACCACAGCCTGGAAATCAACTCCCTGTTGGTGGAAATCAGACTCAACTATATGTCCCAAAGATGCAAGCAGCAATGTCTCCAGAGAACTTCATGTATCTTTCTCCCTCTGGTATGACTTCTAAGTCTAATGACTGAATTTTAGTAGGTGACACAGCCACTGAGCTTGGTGGTGATGTCCCCCCTATACTTTCCATCTCAAGAAAGGGGTGGTTTCATGTTTTTCCTCCTAGGATTTCCCTAATGCCTTGCTCCAAATCGGCCTTTCAGATATACTAATCTCTGTAGAGTAGTCTCTTGCATTGAGTTCTCTGTTAAGGGACTCAATGGAAAGATTCTAATCTATTCTAGAAACCAAATTTCTTTTTGAATTTTGCTGCTTTTGTTCCATCAGTCAAAAGCAGAAATTTACAAACTAAGGTTATAGGAAAAAATGAGACCCAAAGTTTCCAAAGTTTACCTTTTTTATTAAAACCTAGTCATAACTATTTAATTGTTTGAGCAGTTCAGCTAGGAACTTAACCCATGTAGCACTGATAGTCTAATTCTCACAAGCACAGACTCTGAGCCCCACCTTTGAGGGAGGTCCTCAGAACACATCTATTCAAGCCGTAGCATGGAGGACAAATGCAAAGAGAAGACTTGTTCCCTCACATGGACCAACAGCAACAATCCTGTAGACCTAACTTCTATCTGGTAGTCACACTTAGCTGCCAGGGACCCTACGGGATTTCTGTTTATTTTGTGAAGTGGTGGACTCAGCCAATAAAATGGTGTTATCACTTGGTGAGCCACTAAGAATTGCAACTTGAAAGAGAAGAGCTAAGCAACCTTCATTCTAATTCAAGCAAGAGGAACAAGGACACTCAATGCCTTGCATGTCTGGGAGGCTAAACAAATGTTGTTATTAAAAACTGACAGTGATCCCTTTAAAAGTCAGCACCTGACACTGTTTTCTTGAGCCCTGACATTTTATGATTGTACACAGTGCTACTATGAGCTGTTTACAGAATTCTGATTGCTTCAAAATTATACTGGCATCATAGCTGTGAAGCTCAAGCCAGTAAAATCCCAAAGCCTTCGTAACACTAGGAAAAATCTTCTAGAAATAGCTCTACTTCAGACAGCAGTGAACTTATGACACTTACCCAAGCTCTTGGCCTGAGAAGACCTTTAATATCCTGGATTGCATAGCATTAATATCTTTTCCTAGGAGCCCACTAACGTTAAAAATTATTTTCCCACTATAAGCCAACCATTGCTAGAATTATTTGGAAAATATATGGCTATAAGAAATCTGATTATATTATATTAATAGAAATAGCCAAGCATTTTGAGTAATTTTTCCTTCCCCTTTCAGACACCTCTCTTTTTATTCATAATTATAGTCAGAGTCTCCAAATATTCATAAAAGCTGGATACAAGTAATATTACCATGAGAGTCATTTACAATCTGCAGTAAGACACTCTTTTAATTCTAGGATGCTTGAGTTTCCAGACTCTGAGATTTCTCTTTAAAGTGCTGTAGCCATGTCCTAGAAAGCAGACACAGGCTGACTTTTAAGAGAACAGCTGCATAATCACTCCTCTCCTTCCAATTCCGTTTCCTGTCCAACATAAAACTAGAATTACCCATACCTACATGACCATTGAAACTTTTATTCAAGAGAGAAAGCAGCACAGTGACATTTTCAGCCTAAATCTGAAGGTACAGTTAGTCCTTTCTGATCTGTGAGGGCAACTGCACAGTAATGTCTCTGTTCTGGAAACTTGAAAATATTCTAAATTGGTTGGTTTCCTGGGGTCATTCTTTATCTCTACAGTCCCTGTGCCTTCTTCTTCTGAGGCCACGTAGCACTCATTGTAGGACATCTCAGTAGGCACTGGCATGCTGAGTGACTAGATTCCACAGCTAAAGAGCTGTGAAGGGCTCTCCAGTCTCCTCAGGGCTCCTACTGAATGTACACAAAAACAGTTGGAGTGGAAATAGACTCCTTAGTCTTACCAGAGGATGACATAACTAGACAAGGCCTGGCATGCTACACCCCATGAATGAAGCAACCTTGCCTTTGTCTTTCCCAGACACTCCTAATGCATTTTTCACATAGGTTGGTATCTTAGAATGAAATAACATTTTCAACTACAGTCGTCCTTCTCTTCTGGTTATGCTTTAGTAAATATAACTTGTATGGTCATCATATGTGGTGGTTTGAAAGAAAATGGCCCCAAAGGGCATGACACTATTAGGAGGTGTGGTCTTGTTGGGGGAAGTGTCACTGTGGGGGTGGGCTTTGAGGTCTCCTTTATTCAAGCCTCCCTCAGTGTGACTCTAAAATCACTTTCTGATGCTGCAAGTCAAGGCTTACTTGTCTACTTCTCCAGCACTATGTCTGCCTTCACACCACCATGTCACACCATGATGAGAGTAGACTGAAACTCTGAAAAATGCTGCCACCTCAATTAAATGCTTTCCTTTGTAAGTTTGGCATGGTTATGGTGTCTCTTCACCACAATAGAAACCTTAACTAAGACACTATAGGAGGACAGATAATCAGCATTGTAGTATACTCCTATCAATACAGAAGGGTATATTCAGCAGTTCTTGAACAACAGGACTTTTTCAGGTAGAAGAAAAAATGTATAGCAGTCAATATGAGCATTAACTACTTTCTTAATTGCTGAAAAACCCAACATAAAGGTTAGAGGACAAATAACAACAACAGAAACTTAAAGCATATCTTAATATGTACTTCAATAAGAATGGGTGGAAGGAAGGGCTATGTGTCAGAACACTACTCTCTGTTGAATACCTACTGAATTGTAGATAGACAGTACTCTAGAAATGAGTTCATGATCATTCTGTCTCTTTGCGCTTGACAGCAACATACTGTTTCCAAGATGAGGAAGATGAAGCAGCTTGCTAAGCTACCTTAGCTAATAAGTGAATAACCTGCAGGTAAAGCATGTTAGCCATATAGGAGAAGTATCTGGCTAGGGAGGGGCAGGAAGGAATGTGAAGGCTGACCTTAATGTGATTTAGGAATTAGAGGCTTTGAACAAATATCTGATTATCATGTCAAGCTATAATGGTATGATGAACCTCACAGGCTGAGGGGATATGAAGCTGGAAAAGGTTCCCATTGGGGAACCACTTCACCTCCATCTGCATTGCACATAGGCTGGGTACCTGATATAGCTCTCATTTGGTAATGAATTGACTGTTCACCAAAGAAAAATGGATAATGAAACTTGAAGTTGAAGCCACATGGTCTCAATTCAAAACAAGAACTCAGAGTTTGAGAAGACAACATGACGTTATCAAAGACCATAGTCCTAGAGAAGACAGCTAGGCATCAATCAAATGAGCCTCATCCAAAGGGTTGAAAGAAGATAAAAGATCAATGACAGCAGGCTTGTAGTCAGTTTAACTATGCACCATCTTTTAGACAAATGGCATTCATGTGGATACTACTCTGTTCGTTCATAATCAACTACAGTGTGAACAAGCACATGTGCTTATGTTCCCCATTCTGCACAGATCGTATCCCCTGTTAACTACCTTGAACAAGGAATGTATCATCTGAGAATGCCTGTCCTCTGGTTTTACCAAACTAGAATATATCTTTGTTTCTCAACTTAGAAATCTAAACTCTGTCTCTAACTGTGCTAGGAAGGTGTGGGGGGCTATGTGTTAGATATATGCACACATGTGTGAGCATGCAGGGGTCAGAGGGTATCCTGCTCTACCCCTCTCTACCTTATAACCTTGAGACAGGGTTTCTCACTGAGCTCAGGTTCTCTTGTACAGCAAGTATTCTTACCCACCAATTCATTTCCTCAGTCCCAAGATTTAAATGAAAGGATAAATGTTAACCTCAAATGAGCATCATTCTAGTCTCACAGCATTAGACAAATTGCCTAACCTGTCTGGACCTCAAAGTCTGAATCATTTAAAATGAGTGGCTGTTCTTGTAGAGAAGAAAAATTAATAAGTTTCTGATGTTCTGGGCTACTACTCTCAATTGCTTTGGGGAAAAAAATACTATGTGTGAGGCTGTAAATGTGTGCATTGTGTTAGTAAGACGTGTTCCCTACAATTGAAATCAAATTTGCTCTTCCATAATCTATAGGGTATTATTTTGAAGAATATCTTGGAATGTGATCAGAAACTTAGAATTTTGATGTACCACTATTTTAAATTTAACATTTTACCTTTACAAATACATTAATTAAAGATGCTGTTCTCAAAGTAAAAATAATAAAATAAGTTGTCCCACATAACACCAAAATGCAAGATTTTAAGTAAGTATATGTAAAAATGCTTAACCCTTACAAAATGTCAATTTTATTTGTTCTTATTACTTCTGAACTTTTAGAGAATTGACTGAGTTTCTACTTAAAAAACAAGTACACTTCCAAAAAGCAGGATTCTCTCTGACAGGAACATACTAACAAGCAATGATTTTACTCCCAGAGTGCAGGTACATGCCTGTATTTTCCATAAGATACGAGTAGAGAAATTTGCTCTGTCTGCTGTTTGTACTTGTTGAAAAATAACAAAGAAGCAGATGGGTGTCATCCATAAGTAATGCCGATCACAAGTGAGCACTCTTCAAAGGACCTTCTAATCAGTGTAAACATAAATCAGAGCAGCTAGGTGCAAAGGTGGAGTTACACCAGCAAGGGCCCAGGTGACCTCTAAAGAGGCACTGGATACAGTCTTCCCTCAAGTGTTTTCACTTTCAGACAAAATTCGACATCACAGTGAGGCCTCAAAGGCTTATTTACAAAATTCTTTTAATGGCACCTACACTCTATAACCATAGACAAGATTATGAGTACTTGAATATTGCCTAGCACCATGCTTTGTGTCCACAGTATTGGCTCTCTTGCCTCTCAATAAAATTCAAGAGTTGCTCAGTTTATGAGCTATATAAGCTCACAGGGCCCAATGAGCTCGTGTCTTCGGTTTTTGCTTAGCCTCAGGTGTTTGGTGTATAGGTTGTTTACCTGAAATTTATCATTTGCATAGTGGGAAAATAAATGTCACTGCTTTTGAGAAATATGTTAAAACTATGAGGAACTGGCCAGCCATCACAGATTCAGTATTGCTGAGTGCCCACTGTGACAACACAGGCATGCACTAAGTTCAGCAGGACTGTAATGGTCACTCAAGGCATCTCTGCCCTTTGCCTTTTATTTTTCTTGAATTCTCATGGGGGAAAATGTAAAAAAAAAAACCTAACCCCTCGAATCTTTATATCTTTTATTGTGGGTGCTAAATGGTCTTTTTTTTTTTTTTCTGTGTAGATATGAAAAAGATATGGTCTCGCTTCTGGTGAGATTTGCTCTGTGGGAGAGGAGCTGAAATAACATTCTGAACGCAAATAGACTACAAATAACTTGAGCCCTTTGAAATCACTCTTTCGATATTGATTCACTCCAAGGATGAAAGCCAGCTCTAGGCAGAACCAGACCTGTGGATGCAGAATTCGTGGGAAGCCTGAGATCTCTGGGAAACTCAAGCTTCCACAGGCACTTAGCAGAATGCCCACGAGCTAGGCATACTTTAGCTTCATGCTAGCCCTTGAAAGGTTTTCAATTTATTCTGGACAGAGTGCCTCTCATTTTCAGATGACAAGTTTGGGAAAGAGGATGAAATAATTACTACCTTAGCTGTGATTAGTTGCTTTATATGTTTCACATCTTAACTAAACATGTTTGTATTTGAAGCTTACACACACACACTGAGATGGTGTCTTTGTTTAAGTGGATTGGCTCCTGTTAACAAGGAGAAACAGAGTGTGAACTTCTCAGAGAGCTGCCAGTAGGAGCCCCTCTGTAGAACCAGGATGTGGTCAGCTGTTCATTGACACCTACTCAACACCACTGCAACTTGTCCCACCGCTTCTAAGGTAAAGGTAGAAACACAGCAGACACCAGTGTCAGGATGGGTAATAACTCATGCTAGAAACACATGACAGAAACTGATGCTGGAATACATGGCACTGACAGAGAAGAAGTCCAAGTTGGAGCAAGTGATAAAATGAAGTAGTACATTATGATTCCGTTTAGAAAAACATTTCTATGCTCCAAACGTGTTTGCAAGGATGAATGAAGGATGCCCCCCCGCCAAAAAAAAAAGAAAAAAAATTAACTGCACACGTGATCTCCTCCGGTGTGAAAAGGTGCTAGAATGCTTGACAGTTAGCAGCTTCACTGTCTGTCAAATGATGGAATAAGAGCATCATCTCCCTGGTGGTCCAGTGCTCCCCCATTATCACACACCACAGTCTTAGTCAAGGTGCCTCGTAGTTCCTCTCAGTGTGTTTTTCAAAGAATGACAAGATTTTAAATAAATCAAACTGTTATCAAGCTAGACTGGGTACCTGGAGTATTCACACCCGCTGAATCTCCTGTACTTTGCCACTACCCTAAAAATGATACAGTCATATGAAAAGTAGTATCTTTTCTGCATAAATTCTGGAGGTGCAGAAGAACTGAATATGCACAGGTTCCACGAAAAGCAGAAACTGAGACTTTCTCATGGCAAAACTGGGATTTTCATGCCACTTTACATGATTGTAATGAGGGCTCAGCAAGTGTGCCCAGATCACCCATGCAGCACCTATGTCTAGGTTCAGGTTATACAGAATTTAAATCTGAATCCAACATGATTTACATTCAGGCTCAATCATACGAAGGCACATATTTATGGAGGAAAAGGACCTCAGCCAAAACTCTGCTTATCAAGGCAAAAACATAGGAAGGACATGTAGTAATAATTTGCCATCTTCGTAAGAAAGCTCTCCCCTTAGGAATTGCATGACCCCCACCTCAGTCCTCATTGGCCACAGCAATGTGTCCTCCCTCCTCTTTCCTCATCTGTTCCTTAGGCTGTATGAGAGAGTCTTCTCTAAAATTCATTAACCTGGGATGTCTTTAATGAACTGTGCAAAGCAGACTAACTCCCACTTTTGGAAGCTCACAATACTGGTACTTTATTCTCCAAGGCAAAGACAAGAATTATAGTTTTTTTTTCTTTTTCCTTTTCCCTCCAACTGTCCAGCCCTGAATGAGACGTGAAAGCCAGTGTCCCAAATGAGCAGAACTAGCATGGATGACTTTGGGTTGATGATGGACAGAATGGGACAGACAGCCTTTCTTCTTCCAGATGCTGCCACTGACATGGGTCTAGCAGCAGTGATCTTGCCTAGCATATGGCATATTGCAAGCAGATTTGGGGTCATACAGGACAGAAAGCAAATTAGTCACTTTGTTTGCAAATCTATCCTAGTCATTGTTTTCTGGTGTGATCTCCCATCATGAACTGAAGCCTCCTGAAAATTGTCTAAGCCATCTGACATCCAAAAATGTTTCTGTTCTGCTGAGATGAAGCAGAGCTAAGTGTTACAGCTCATGCAGGCGACTGTTTCTTGTAAATTTTATAAAAGTAGATTTATGTTAAAAACTCAGAAAAGACAGTTCATAAAGGCAGAAATCAGCTAGGGGTTACTGGGTAAAAAGAAGACAAAACAGTAGCTACAGTTAATGGGCACTAGTTCTTTCTAGGGATGAAATATATATGTTAACTTCAATTGACCGATAATTGTACACATCTATGGAAACCCTGCTATTTTCCATATGTAATAACTGAATATGGGTAATTAACATGCCTGTCACTTCAAACATTTATTATCTCTGCATTGGTGGCAAGCATAATTACTTCTACTTGGCCATTTTGAGATATATAAGTTGTATCAGTCCATTGTAGTTATCGTGGGTGATCAGGAGTTAAAAGTTGTTTCTTCTAACCAAATGAGCTACTATGTCTATCCTATAGACAGCATGCTCTCACTTCCTCAACCTTCCAAGTCTCGGGTAACTGCCACTCTAGTCTCCCATTCTACACAGTCAATTTATTCATCTTCTATGAAACATTCAGTCTTTCATTACCTGTCATATCTTAATTCATACAGTATCTACCTAGCTCATCAGCTGATCCTGGTTGTTGCTCATGAAAGAATTTCATTCTTTGTTATTGATTAATAGTATTTCAGTGTGTGTGTGTGTGTGTGTGTGTGTGTGTGTGTGTGTGTGTGTATTTCCTTTATCCATTTATTAGTTGATGGATCCTGTTTGATTCCATTCCTGAACTATCATGCATAGAGCTGTAAAGAATGTGGGAGCACAAAAGTCTCTTCAACATCCAATTTTCATACCTTTGAATATATTCTCACTAGTGGGAATACTGGTTCATATGATAGATTTGTCTCTGGGTTTTGAAGAATCCCCATATTGTTCTCAGTAAAGCCAACACCCGATCTACATTCTCTTGCTGCAATGCACAAAAAGGCAGAGAGATGACATTGCTCAATATTGCATGCTTCCAAGTCCTAGAATAGTTTCCAAACATAATATTTTGAAAACTTAACATAAGTCAGTGATCAGTCGCCAAGTTCTTATTTTATTGTTCTTTGACCACATATCAACCAAATGACTCAGGGTACTATACCTGTTCTCTTTATGTGTTTCCCAAATTAACCAATAGTAGAAAATAGTTTAGAAGTTCTTAGTAATGTTAGCCATTTGCTTAAAACTGTGACTCTTTCAGAAAAAAAATTCTATCTACTTCATAGCATTATGCCAAGCCCTCTCTTCATTTCTCCTACCACTTGTTATGGTTTCTGCTTCTCTTCACCTGACTCTTAGGAGGCAGCTGCAGAAAAGGAGAAGGTACCTACTTAGTCATGTGGACACAATGTGATAAGAACATAGACCTCTTCCTTCTTGTCTGAGTCTCACGCAAGAGCTGTCTCAGAGCAGCTGGTGTTCTCTACACATGTATGCTCATTTTCTGGCAGTGGCTCCATCATATGGCATGTTAGATGGTGTCAAGCACCCAAATAGGTTATGAGAGTGGGCTCCAGTAATTAGCACCCTCAGTCTGTTTGACCCTAGTCTCTGTACCCCCTGAAGATCAGGAAGGCCTTTTATCACTCACACACACTCAGTCAGACCCTGATACAGCAGTGCTAAGAAGGGCAGCCAACCTTTCCTATGAATCAGCAGACTTTGTAATCCTCAAGATGCTGAAAGTCCAAGTCAGCTCTACCCAGGATACATATCTGGGTTTTTGTCTCAGCCCACCTAATTGCATATCTGTGCCATCTTTCAGGCCTAGGAAGTTCTAATGCCCACAATTTCTAAAAGAGACCTGCAGCATTCATCATTTTTGCTGAGGATCCTGGTTGACCCTCCCAGAAGAGTGTCTAAGTCCCCTTGCTTCTGATTCTGCAGCTGGAATCAAGTAGGAAGTGGGAAGTGGTTCTTAGTGTGACTTCTGCACCGATAATATCTTCATCATCTAACACTGGTTTGAAACACAAACCATGGACACTGCAGAGACATACAAAACAAGATTCTTAACAGTATCCCAGCAGACACCATTATAATCAACCTGGCCAGCAGTGTAGCCATTCTCTAAGATTTGAGAACCTCAAACCTAATTTTTCATCAATCTCTTCTCTAGTTAGTGCCTGTCCCACAACAGACATCTGTTTCTTCCAATATAGCCTCTTATCCAAGTTCCACCCTGCCTATGTGAAGAATTACTTTGCCCCTTAATGTCAATAGCTTGGTCTTAGAAATTTGACTGGGTAAGGCAGGAGTCAAGAAATGACAGACACTGAAAAAAATGACAGTTTACATACAGCAAACCTGGGATCAGCTGGGCTATGCTCACTCTTAAAGAGGGCACTTACCAGGAAACCGTTGTGTTTAATATGTCCAGTACAAAGAGGAAGGGTAGTCAGTCTCTTAGTGGGAGGTCTCTGAAGGGGAACAGACTTGGATGGTAGCCATACAGGAATAGGAAGATGCTAGCATCCAACAGTCTCTATATACACTGGTCAGTCACTCATAAACACACATACTTGGACCAGAGGAAGGCTTTGCCATCTGTCATGCCTCTGACCCTCAACCAGAAAATGCTTGTCCGAGTCATGGGGCTAAAGCGTTGGGGTCCTTGCTCATGTCAATAGTACACATTCATTCAGGGCTTCATCTGCTTATCAAGACTTGAATCTTGGTAATTAGAAAGGATAGACCTTGGATTAGGTCTGATTTGAACTTGATCATGTACATTACTCAGTACCTGTATGCATGCAGTATACCTATTCCCACATGTACGTGTCTACATACTGTACACATGTTAAAGTGACAGATAATAGAGAAGCAAGGCTCATTGTCTCAAGCTACTATCACAAATTACTTTTCTGTCCTCCCAATTGCATCTGAGAAGTCTCACCTTTACTGCTTTTGTTCTTTAACTTGATCCATACCATTTTATTGGAAACTACCTGGATATTCCACAAGTTATCTGAGCTCCAAGAGACCTCAAGAGAACCTAAACAGAGCTCCCTTCCTCCCATCACCTCTTGGATTCTGTGTGACACCCTATCCTTCCTGTTGGAGACTTGGGTATATATAAATGGGTAATGATAAAGGAGGTGAGCACATAAGACTGGTAAAGACTCATTGCTATATTTATCCCAGAAAGCTTCCAGGGGACAAGCATCTCTGAGCCTCATGGAGAAGCTGTTACCTGGGCCCTTTGCCTTCCCTGCAGATATAGCTCCTTTCAAAAAGTCTGCTACAGGAGAACGGAGTGTGACTTTGCTGCATTTCATAGTGAAATAGAGAAGCACAAAGAATGGGTATTTGGTTTAATCATTCATGATGAAACTGGAGCTTTAATGTGGCTAACAGAATGTCAGCAAGCATTAAGTCCTGAGAGCCCTTAGGCTGGGGTTGGTTAGTGCCCTTGGTAATCTCCTAGGGCTTTTCAAGCACCAAAAAAACTAATTTAAATTGCAACATGATTCAAGAGGTAGAAACAGAAAGTTGAAATAAGCCTTTTGGATCTTGTAACTGCACAAAACCATTGTACGTGAAAAGTACAGAGAAAAACAATTGGAATCATTTCAGGCTTTGAAAACTTATAATTACAGGTAAATGGCTATTATGTTATTGGAATAGCCATTATAACTGAAAGGTACAATTTGGGATAATATATGTGGGGACATTAATACACCATCAGAATTTTACAGCACAAGCATCACAATGCATCCAATTTCAAATTAGAGGTTACTTCCCTGGTTTTTTTCTTGATTCTCTGCTTCTATTTTTAAGTAGAGCATTCATGTGAAATAATGACATCATTTCAAAAAATCATAATAATTTTTGGCTATGCACTATTCACTATCATTTAAAAGTCTTCAGGTCTTTAACACTATAGGAAAATAACAAAAGTCAAAATTACCCATCAGTACATTCTCCACATGACTGTCACCTCTAAGTTACTTAAGCTAATGGAACAGCACAAGCAACATAGACTATCCAGGCTGAATAAAATCTAAAAATCAACTTTATTTACATTTAGAATTTGCATTTAAATGCAAATGCATTTGATACTTTGGACGTCTGCTGAAACTGGATTAAGCTTCTCAGCAAGGGTGAGAAAACATGAACAAAATAGGAAAACATGAGCCATATAAAGGGCCAACAAAATATTGTCTGGACCATCAGTTGGTTGTTTGATGAAATCTTTAGCAACCTTGACCTCTACATGACTGAAAGTTCTAGCTACCATGACATTGTCTCAAAGACAATCAGAATGGAAGAAAAGAAAGAGAGAGAGATAGGTGGAGTTCCACCAGGAACTAAATCCACCTGTGAAACAGGCCACCTAACCACGGGGCTGCTTTCCTTTGCCACACATGCTGCACAGATGCCACATGATTGAAGACTCAGCAGAAGATCTTGAAGTCCATGTGTTCTCCCTATAGAGACTTTTTTGGGGTTTCCTAGCCCTCCTCAGCTACCTCAGAATCTACAGCTATGTAGACACTTGTCCTACCTTGGAAGTAACTGAAAAATGAATAACAGCAATTCAGCATTTGCTTGAAGTTTTATTTTGAGCTGGGGTTAATTCTGGGTCAAGTTGCAAGTTGTTTGTTCCTTTAGCAAGCTCACTTTCTAGATGAAGAAATTTCAACTCAGCTCAGTGCTTCACTGTTAGAACTCTCCAGGAAGTTTTAGTTATATCATTCAACATGGCTGCAGATTGTGGTGATATTGTGTCCCTCAATATATTATGCACCCTAATAAACTTATCTGGGGTCAGAGGACAGAACAGCCACTAGATAGACATAGAAGCCAGAAAATGGTGGCACACACACGTTTAATCCTAGCATTCCCGAGGCAGAGTTCCATCCAGATTTCTGTGAGTTCAAAGCTACACTGGAAACAGCCAGGCATGTTTACACATGCCTTTATTTATTTATTTATTTTTTTTTTGAGACAGGGTTTCTCTGTGTAGCTTTGCGCCTTTCCTGGAACTCACTTGGTAGTCCAGGCTGGCCTCGAACTCACAGAGATCCACCTGGCTCTGCCTCCGGAGTGCTGGGATTAAAGGCGTGTGCCACCACCGCCCGGCTACACATGCCTTTAATCCCAGAAAGTGATGGCAGGAAGCAGAAAGGTATATAAGGTGTGAGGACCAGGAACTAGAGTCTTTTTAAGCTTTTAGCTTTTAGCAACAGTTTAACTGAGACCCTCAGGGGTGAGGACTCAGAGTCTTTCATTCTGAGGATTCATGGAGACAGGATTGGCTGAGCAGATGGTGAGTGGGGTTCCCTAAGACCTGAGCAGAAGAATTTAGAGAAACATCTCATTTAAAGCAAGGTGGGACTGAAGAAACCTTCTGACTACATTTGGCTGCCCAACATGTTGGCTTGAATTTCCACCTAAAACTTGAGAGAATTTAAAAAGAAATTCTAAAATTGAGCTAAGAACAGCTTTCTACCTCATGTTTCATGCAGGCTGAGATATAGAGACACCAAGGTACAGAGATGCTGTGGCATGCGGACTTGAACTACAGTATGGCCAGTTCATGGTGTATGGGCTTGAGTGCAGCATGGCAGATTCCTGCCAGGGTACACAGAGCTATCTTCAACCCATGAAGCACACTGCATGATGGATTTAGCTTTTACTTATACAGATAAAAAGAGTTTATGGGCCAGCTGCATGCTCCCTGATGGCAGCATGGACCCCAGAGTTAGTGGGGTAACCGTGACTATCCTGGGTACATCCACCATGTTGAAAAGCTCAGGTGGGTGGAGTCAGCATCCAAGGCTGCTGGTCCTAGCCACACAGCTTAGCAGTTTAAATCTCCTCTGGTCTAAGAAGGATTATAGATTCACAATGAGACAGATTCAGATGGAATAAAACTCTAAACAATTTACAGTGTGTGTAAAAATGTACATAGGCTTGGAAGAGAAAAGAAAAGGAGGATAGACAGTTATATAAAGAAATATTTTTAAAAAATAAAGTCTTTAAAGAGACAATAAAAACAATATAAAACATAAGCCACGTAAAGATGGAAATTACACAGAGAATCTGGATTATATTGTCTTCAGGATTTTTAACTGCAGAAATACATTTGATTATAAAGGCTGCTGAGTTAAACCAATATATATATTTTAAAGGTATTTTGACTTCAAAATTCGTGTTTAAGGATCCCTTGCTTTGGAAAAGAGGTTCTGCTTTTGTTTCCACAGAAGATGAGAACCTGTGGATTGTTTCTAGGCTAATATGGCTTGACTAGCCAAGACCCCCTGAGAGGTTTCCAGATGACCTAACATCCAGAACAGCTTCAAAGCAACTAGCTCAGACATACTCACAGACTACACCAGTCAGGACTTGACCATAATTATTAATTTTCTCAGTATACCCATGAGATTACAGCACCCCCAACCAGCAGGAAGTAGTATGAGAAGCTATGTCCAAATTCCCAAGATATTGTTTATGAATGTTTATTTTTATTTAAAGCAGTTTGATTATAAATGCAATCTCTTTTTAAGTCATCCATGATAATCAAACTTATAGTCATGTTAATTTAATTTCCTAGGTATTCATAGATATATTTCAATTAAGTAGGTAATCTTCAAACACTTCAAAGACCTACAGAATATGGCATTTAAAATGTTTTAAAAACTTAGACTTTCTGGACAATGAGACACGTCTGGTCCTGGCAGCACCAATTTACTTCAGAGAGGAGGATGGGCATCAAAGACAGTCCATATGGAGTTTATCTTCTTCTTGGCAAAAATAGCCATTTGGGCAAGAGGCTTCTCTTGCCTGACTGCTGATAATATGTTGTATAAACTGTACATGCAGGACCCATAGGAAAATGAACACTGAATTTGCCAAAATGGGGCAAAATGGTTCTTTAGGTTCCTGCTTTGCAGAGACTGCCAAATATTCTACAGGACACAGAGAGAAGTGACTGAAAAAATGCTAGGCTTATTAGCTGAAGATGGATGTCCCAACATTACAGAGGAACTTTGGGTCCAGGCAGCCAGTTGTCTCTGTCATTTCCAGAATTTTTGGAAGCTGCTTACAATGCACTTCTTGTTTAGTTATGGAATATTATATCCTTCTGAAGTCTTCGATGTATTTGAAGACTATATAGTTATAATTATGGTTTTCCTTGGTTATGATAAGAGATAAGGTAGATATGAAACTTTAGACTCACAAATATAGGATAGATAGAATATTTTCTTTAATTTTACAAAATACAAACAGACTAGATATTGTAACAGTAATTCTTGTTTGTTATATATAATTTTACTATGTTAAAGTTAAAACCTTCCTTTTTAATTAAACAGAAAAGGAAAAATGCTGTGGGATAATGCTTTTGTGCACTGGTTTAATAAAATGCTGATTGGCCAGTAGCCAGACAGGAAGTATAGGTGGAATAAGCAGACAAGGAGAATTCTGAAAAGAGAAAGGCTGAGTCAGGAGACACCAGCTGCCATCCAGGGAGCAGCATGTAATGGCACACAGGTAAAGCCATGGAACACACGGCAACATATAGATTAACAGAAATGGGTTGAGTTTAAATGTAAGAGCTAGTCAGTGGTAGGCCTGAGCTAATGGCCAAGCAGTTTTAATTAATATAAGCTTCTGTGTGCTTACTTGGGTCTGAGCAGCTGTGGACTGGGTGGGACACAGAAAAACTCCAGCTACAGCAGATATACCCAGTCTCTGTGATCGAAATTCCAAACACTGCAATATACAAGCCTCCGTGATCCTGGAAGGGCTGACCTGAATTGGGTTTTGCTCTTACATTTGTTTTTTGCATTTCCTTGTGTTAGATGGAGTGCTGAAAACTTTGCTTGGGTGGCTTTCTCAAAAGATGGTGCTTTTTGTGTTGTTTGGAATAAGAAAGAGAATTGTGGCAGCAACAGTCTTAATCATGCAAATCAGAGTAATGAGAAATTAACAAAAAATGGAGAAAGGATTGAGAATGATAATAATAATGTTGCTGAGAACTGAAATGATTTTGCGTTTTTAAAGGTATATTTATCATACAGCGATCTTTTTTGAATAAATTGAATAAGAAGTCATTTTATTTATAATAATATATTTTCTTCCTATAAGAAATTTTATATGCAGACATACAAAGTATTTTGACAACAATAGTAAATTAACTTGTGCATAGTTATCTTGAACTATATAGATTCATGGATGGTGAGACATAATCTTTGTGAAGCAAATAAACTTAGAAGTGGGCTTTAGGGGTATACACTAAACACATAATATATACTTGCATTAAATATTCTTGTGTAACATAGTACCATATACAATGAATACATACAATGTTCAAGTTTTCCTTCTGTCCCTTTGACAAAATAGTCTAATCAAAACCAACTTGGGTTCCATGTCACAGCCTATCAATGAAGGAAGTTAGAGCAACAACACAAGCAGAAGCAGAGGCAGGAATCATGGAGGAATGCTTCTTGCTGGCTTTTTCCTCATGGCTTGCCCAGCTTGGTTTCTTATAACACCCGGACTACCTCCTGCACAGTAGCACTACCCATAGTGAGATGCAGTCTTCCACATCTATCATTAATGAAGAAAATGCCCCCACAGACTTGCTTACCCATGGTCTAATGGAAGTAATCCCTCCATTAAGGTTTCCTCTTCCCAGATTAATGTAGCTTGTGCCAAGTTAACAAAACAAACAAGCAAAAACCCAGTACATATAATATTTTTTTTAATAAATAAGAAGTGGAGAGATAACTCAGTAAACTTTTTGTTGTATGTGCATGATGGTGTAATACCAAAAGTAGTGGTGCAGGCTTGGAATCTCAGTACTGGAGAGAAGAAGAAGGCTGGCCCTTTGAGCCTTGACTGGAAACTAATGCAACCTAATAGTTGAGCCTAAGACAAGTGAGAGACCCTATCTCCAAAACCAAAATGCATAGCTCCTGAGGAACAAGACCCAAAGTTGATGTGTAGCCTCCACAAACAACAGCACACATGCATGCACTCATATGAATATATGAATATGCACCTACCCACACACACAAAAAATAATAAAATAAAAGATAAAATAAAAATTAGAGCTGAGGATGTAGTTTAGTGATAAAACACTTGCCTACAATACTCACGACCCTGGGGTTTGATGCCTAGCACAGAAAAAAATATTAAAACTAAAAACAATAAATACCAGTATATGAAAAACAAAATTCAAAACTAATAGCACTTAAAAGTGGCTTTGATGTTCTGTATCAAAAATGTATTGGAAATACTGACTATAAAGAACAGAAGACAAGTTGAAGGCAGTCATCAGTGGGAATATTTACTGTTCTTACAACTATTGGTGTTGGGAATATTCAATGATAATCTTTCTAAATATGATCATGCGCTATGTGGAATGTATAAGTTGCAAATCAAAAGTATTTCAACTTGCCCGACATAGGATGTGCCTGTTCTTTTACAGAATAAAGCCACAACAGGAAAGAATAAAGTTTTCTGAATATTTGGCCTCTACTGCCCAAGAACTTTCCTTGCTTCTACCAGTCTTATTGGTTCTTTCCTGGAGACTCAGCTTCCCATTTACATACCTTATCTTGTGAAGGCCCGTGGGACAGAGGAACAGAAGCCAATCAATGGGATATTTGTCCTCAAGGATGGAGCTGCCCAGTTCCCTTTTTTTTTTCTATCCCTGACTACATTCTCTCTCTCTCCCGATCACACTTGCTGATGCCCAGCAGCAAAGGATAGAATGTTGTAACCAGTATAAATAATTAAAATACAGTGGTGAAACTCACCACACTATTTTAAAACATTAACTGATAAGTGATAATAAAGGTGGAAGTGCAAAAGGTAACATTGTTGTAGAACTATGAAACTTACTCTCTTCCAAACATACACATACAAGCGAAGAGAAGTTTCTTCACAAACATCTTCAAACAGAAGAGCTCATTTTCCAGCTACAGTCATGTAAAATATTCTATGAAAGTGAAAACAACAGTTCACAAGGTCTCATAGCCTTGATTCACATATTCTCTAAGTGTGGACTTCCATTCCTGCATGGTATCCCATTTTCAGAATGCATTTAATAGGCAATATGGCAGAGTTACAGAAATACTTTCAAAGCATGTGCACTCATAATGTACAAATAACTGTGTTGCAAATTAGCTGAATTATTCATGGAGGTGCAGTGCCAAACAGCATTATCTAGACCTGAATTCCTAACAGGTTGAGTTCATTTTTCAAAAACAAAATTTGACAGTTCTTTACGATGCCTGAGTGCACACACCACATCCAAGTTTATATAATGTTGAAGCTATTGCAGGAAAAATGAAATACTCAGTCAGCCAACCCCCATGCTTCTGTATTAAGGCCAAACACAACTAGATGAAGACTTTGGACAGAAGTATTCAGTTGATTGACTAAAATGTTAAGGTGTAAACTAGAAAATAAGACTCATTTTAGACAGTTTTATAGAAGTCAAGTAAAAAAATTTTGGTTTGATGTGTAATAAAGAAAGGTCCAGCAAAGATAAATAATATACTTAGCCAACTCACATTCTCAATGGCCCGAAGGAACCAGGGAAAGCCAGGGAAGAAGGAAGGTCAGTGTCCTTAACTAAACAGATTAACACATTCTATTTTCTGTCTCCTTCAAACCTTTTTTAATAAAGTGAAGACCAGAAGTTAAATGTAGTTTTAATTTCAATACTTTTCAATACCATCAAAGGTATTGAAATTAAAACTAGGCTATTATTTAGCAAAGTCTCATAAATTATTTGCAACATATGTTTCCTCTGCCTCAAGAAGAACATGTAGAGAAAGCTGCATTTGGTCGGTTGCTGCTGAACACAGTGGGCCCCACTTCTCACCCTGAGTTTTTTTGCATGACATGTAAGAAAGGTTCACACTCACCTGGGCCTAATACCTTCCTTCTTGACTCACTCTGGGATTAAGGGGTCACAGGACACAGTATAGGTGTTCTAGATGAGTCTCTGACTTGAACTCAAGTGTGGTTCTTGCCTTTGATGATGGCTTCCAGTAATCGCTCCCTGTCTTGTCCTGTCTTGTATGTCCTTGCTAACCCTCTTCAAGAAAAGATCTCCATTTTTCTGCCTAGGAACTTGAGCAGACCTTGTGGCTTGTTTGGCATAATGCCAGATTTAATTCTAGTCCATAACAGGCCTAGGAGCATTTGCTTTTAGTATCTTGAGTGCCAGTGACTAGGCTCCAAAGAAGCAAGTCAAGAACGCTGATGCAGAGCCAGGCCATCACTGTGCTCCTGGGTAAAGTCTGGAGGTTCCTGCATCCCTAAGCCTGCAACAGAAGCTGAAACATGGATGATCTCATAAGCTGAGCAATGTCAGCAAACTCTACAAAGAATCATGGGAAATAATAGATTGCTGATATTTTAATCCACTAAGTTTTATATTTTTCATGCAATAGATAATTAAAACACAAACATCCAGGAGCATGAAAATAACACATGGGTGAAAACTGTGGTTATCACTACATGTAATTTTTATTTTAAAACTTTTCATTCAAAATTAAAATGCGGTAAGAAAAACAGAACCAGGGATTACCATAAATTTGTGGTAAGTATTTTGAAGTTGTTGTCTCCTGAAAGCTAGGATGCTCTCCTAGGTAGTAAAGATTTAGGTAGGACTGTTTGGAGGGTAGGGGAGTGTATGGTGAATAGAAATAAAGAACTGAGCCCAACAAAGCAGTCACAGGTATGTTAGAATTTTGGGCTTGTTATACTACAAAAAAAATCTCAATCACTATAAATATAAATATGTTTATATAAATCAATATAAACTTTCTGTTGCCTCACACTAAAAAGTTACTAGCCCAGGTGTTAAGCCTGTGGTATGTACCTCTTAGAATGTGAGTGAAAGTAATAAAAGCATGACCACCTCTGCATACAATAATATAGGATTCATAAAAAATAGAATCTTACATTCTTATATCTTGTTTCTCTTGGCCAATTCTAATGGAAAACTCTCAAGACATCCCTGTTGTCTTGAGAGGGTTGGATTTGTCATATAAGGAAATAAAAAGAATTTTGTACACAGAAGTGTATTTTTCTTATGTCCAACCTTATTTTTCCCTTGTATGCAACATATACAAAGAACTCAATAACTAAACATAAAGAAAATGAACAGTCTGATCAAAACGTGAATCATGTAATTGAACACAGACCTACCAAGTGAAGAAATATAAATGCAAATTAAAATTGCTTTGAAATTCTATCTCAGGCCCATCAGTTTGGCTCTCAAGGGAACAAACAACAATAAATGCTGACATGATTTTGAGGAAAAAAGAATGCTCATCTACCATTAGAAAGAGTACAAATAGGTGCAGCCACTATAGAAATCAGTGATGAGGTTTCTCAGAAAGCTGGGACTAGAACTGCCATATGACCCAGCTATTCCCTTCATGGCCATATGGATGCTTGTGTAACCCATCTTCATTGCTGATCTACTTAAAATAACTATGAAATGAAATCATCCTGGCTGTCTATCAAATGAATGAAAAGTAGATGGGTAGTACATACACACAGTGGAGTTTTATTCAGCTATAAAGAAAAATGAAATTGTGAAATTTGTAGGAAAATGGATGGAGTCAAAAATATTACACTAAGTGAGGTAACCTAGATTCAGAAAGACAAATTCTACAAAGTCTCCCTCACATGTGGAATTTTAGATTTGTGTGTTTAATTTGTCTATAGATGCTAGCAATAAAGAAATGGCTCATAAGAAGGGGAGGAAACAGCTTTAAGACAGGGAAGGGATAGTAAGTTCTGTGAAAAAAGAGGGTGGGATCCTGAAGGTTAATGTTTTCAACAGAAATTGGGGGAGGGAAGGGGGAGGGGAAATTAAAGTTTAGGGATTTGCTGACCAAGTCTAAGGATGCCTGAAAACCATGATATAGATACATTATACTGCATTTATTAAAGGTGTTTTAATTATTAGTGAAACTAGTTAATTGCATAACAAAAGAAGGGGCCTCTGAGCACTGCTGAACAATGCTGTCCCCAGAAGGCATGACTTTTCAAACAAAACTGTCAGTGCAAGTTATGGACATTCTCTATGAGTTATTGGTCAGGGAGGCCCCAGAGACTCCCTAAACAACACTGGATATTGTCATTGCTCCTAGATGTTTACCATAAGTAGACAGCAAGACCCTATTTGATGAAGATACAATATATTTTGGGAATAGGACAGAAAAATCAAACTGTTACTAACCTAAAAACATCCTTTTCCTAGCTTTCATAGCACAAGGAGGTACTATTCAGAGCAGAGGGGAAGAAAAATCAGTTGTGATATTATCCAGTAGTGAACCATCAATGCTAACATACTGACCCGCTAGACAAGATGTGCCCACTGGTACCATAACTGAAAGTTGTGTGAAGTCTATGAGGGTAACCAGCTACTTTATGATTGGATTTGAAGCCTGATCCACAGGATGGAATTCAAGCCTTTTATTGTAATCCTGGTCAAAGTCCATGGCCCAGGAAGTCATAGGCCCTGGTAGTGGTCAGGGAAGATATAATGTTGATAGGACATATCTGTTGGGCTGATGAGCTTGCAGCAGCTATGGTCACCTGCACAAGGCTTGTGCGAGATCAAGACAAGATCAGCAGACATTCTAGCAGAGAGCACTAACTGAACTCAATGAGATACAAATGGTGGGGGGGACATGTTGGGAGGTGTCTCGAGGAAGTAGGAGAAATAAAATCAATATATATTACATATCTGTATGAACTGGTCAATGAATAAAATATATACCCTAAAAATTAAAATTAAAAAATGTGTACTTGAATTCAGAACATCCATACTTCCCAATTTTATAATGATCTTATTACTGGCATGGGGAACTGTTTATATTCTAGGTAACATAGGCCCTTTATGAACATTTAGAATGCAGCCTACCATATACATAAGAAGTGGGCATAGAATACTATGGAAACTATGGAATTTAGCCTGAAAATGGGCCAAAATTTTCCCAGAGGTAGAGATTTTTGCTCTGTCTTAAGAGCAGCTTTGTAATTGGAGAATGGAAAATAGAAAACAGATAAGCCACTGTAGAGGGAGAGACATTGAAAAGGTAAGCTCTCTGCAGACTCGAAAGTGAGTCTATATGCCTCACATGTAAAATGAGATCAGGCCAGTTAGGACCAGATCATAAGGGATTGCATGGCTCCAAAGAATGAAATGCCACACAAAAGGGCTTACAGTTTATGAGAAAAGCAATGGAGACACCAGCTATCTGTTTCTTATAGTCAAACAAAACAAGGTAGCCAACAGCAACAGAAGCACATTCTCTTCCATTGCACAGAAACATTCTGCAGGACACTGTTAGCAAATGAAGTCTCAACATAGTTTGAAAGATGGATCTCATGCAAAAAATTTTTCTAACCAAAAGAAAAGGTTAGATATCCACAGCAGAAGAAAC